AAAACTTTAACCCCCCCCCCCGGAAAAAAAAAAAGAAGTTCAAATCTCATTTTTCTTTTACTTTTTCTCTGTTATATTATCAATCAAACAGAAGGGAGACAATGAAAATTTGTTCATTTCCCCTCTACCTTTTCATTCTACTTTCCTTTGTCAATCTTCCTTTCCTAGTATCCAATAAAACAGGAATTCGGGTTTCCACTATATACTGTCTGAGGGAAGAAAAGTTGAGGCATAATATCATGCTAATCAACATTTAATAGTGTAAGGTAACAGTAATTTAGCAAAATTGCACTAGTATTTAAAGGAGTCCCAAGCAGCTCCAAAGCTTGTAACTAGAGCTGCAATGAATCACTTGTCAGATGCAGAGACTTTGGCATAGCAGGCACAATCAACACTGGCACTTTTTATTAAGTTACTCCCTTATAAGGATGCTATGTGATAGAAGGATGCCTATAAAAGTGAAAAAGGTAAGTTCTACAAAACAGTTACAAGACCGGCAGTGTTCTATGGTAGTGAAAGTCGGGCCGCTAAAGTACAACATATCCACCAGATGGTGTTGCAGAGATGCGGATGCTAAGATGGATATGCGATCATACAAGATTAGATAAGATTAAAAATGACAACATTCGCCGGAAGGTGCAAGTAGCATGCATTGAGGATAAAAAGAGAGAAAGTCGTTTGAAATGGTTTGGTCATGTCCTACGTCAGCCGACAGATACACTAGTCTGTAAGTGAAAAACTATGATAAGTAAAGGTGTTAAAAGGAAGAGGTAGACCTATAATCACATGACAGGAATATCAACTCCTTCTAAAAACACACATGAAAGGAAGTTGCCCGGAAAGACATACAATTTCTCGGTATCAATGCAGACATAGCTAAAGATAGGGCACAACGAAAGAAAAAGATCCATATAGATGATATCTACTAGTTGGAAATAGGTTTTAAGTCTTGTTGGTATGTCGACTTTGAACCCGATGCTTCTTTAGGAGTATTTTGACTTTATCATAGATTTATACGTTAGTAAAGNATTAGAGAGAGAGAGAGAGAGCTTATTTTTCACTTTTTCTTTTATTTGGTATGATGATAATATAAGTTGAGCTTAAATGAAGAAACATGATCGCTGAGGATTCATATAGCCGACCCAACTTGTACAAGACTGAGGCGTAGATGTTGTCGACCCCAACTTCTTTGGGATTGAGGAGTAGTTGTTCTTGTACTCACTTAAAGGATGCATGCTGACCTTTATAAAGGTTAGCAAGTTAATGATGTTGTCATTGTTGATTGATATTTCCTAGTTATAGATAAAATCATAAGCATGCCCCAAAGACTGTCAAGAGAACGTCAATATCTGAGACAAGCAAGTTGCCTTAAATTTCTTAAGTGCATTTGTGGTTGGATTGAAATATACTTTTTTAAGTTCAGGAATGAAACCGGTGCAGTGGATCGAAATGTACTTTTTAAGTCCATGAATGAAACCAGTGACAGAAATTCTACTCTATATATAAAGTATATGTACAGCCAGATATCACTTGAAATAACTCAGGAAAGTTCACCAACAGCCACAACACCAACAATAACAACGCTGGGGAGGGTGAAATGTACGCAGCCTTACCCCAACCCTGGACGGGCAGAGAGATTGTTTCCGATAGACCCTCAACTAAAGAAAAGATGAAAGATGCACTGATAGCAAATAATAACAGTACAAGATATTTAGAAAACTGAGACTAAGATAGCAAAATACAAGATGAAAGAAGCACTAATAACAAGTAATACAATATAAGATATGTAGTAATAGCCATATAAGAAAAAAATAATATCATACTAACCAGTGTTGTAAATAGCGAGCGCTACGTCGCTAATAGCGTGTGGCGACGCGGCGCGAGGCAGTAGCGCTATTTTGGGCTGTTGCGGTGTGATTCTAAAAAAGCGTACGCCTCTGCTTGTGTAGCGCGAGGCGCTGCGAGGCGAGAGGCGTAGCGTAGCGACGCTATTTGGAGAAAAAGAAGAAAAAGGCAGCGACAGTGTAAGCCTGTAAATATTAGGGCTTTGGTTTTAACTGCTTCTCCTTCAGCGAATACAACTAAGCAACTTCAAAGATTAGGGCTTGGGATTCATCTTCTCCATAATCAAACATCAGCACAGTAAACCAGGTATGTTACTTTCTTCTCCTTTCTTCTTCTTCTTCTTCTTCGATGACAGTCGACACTTGGATTCGACCATTGGTGTCATCTTTTTTTTTCTTTTTCTTTTTCTTCTTCTTTCTTCTTTCTTCTTTCTTCTTTCTTCTTTCTTCTTTTCAGCGATCTCCTTCTTCTCCTTTCTTCTTCTTCTTCTTCTTCTTCTTCGACTTCGACTTCGACAGTCAACACTTCGATTTTTCTTTTTCTTTTTCTTCTTCTTCTTTCTTCAGTTCAGCGATCAACTCCTTCTTCTCTTTCTTCCTTCCTTCTTCTTCTTCTTCTTCTTCTTCTTGTCTTATTTTTGGTGCTCTGTTTTTCGAGCAGAGGCAGAGCAGTGGCTCTTTCTTTCTTTCTTCCCTTCCTCTTTCTTCCCTTCCTCTTTCTTCTTCTCTTATTTTTTTTTGGGTTTCTTTTTCGACAGCAGAGGCAGTAGCAGTAGTCTCTTTTTAGGCTCTGTTTTTTTTTTGCTATGTTTTTTCAATTATAAACTTATAGTCTTACAGAATAGAATTAATTGCATACTGACGTGATAATTTTTTTTCTATATAACAGCATTGAAATGGCGTCATCCGATAGTAATAAACGAAATGATATAGCTTGGAATTATGCT